ACGGAATCGTATTGTGCCCATCTCATCAAAATAACCGGCTTATTTACTGCCCAATATCACGCGTGATAATGAGGCATTCCTCCCTGCAGTTCATTTTCGGATTCTTGGAATTAATCCAGAATGCCTCTAGAGTTTTGCGCGCTTGTGTTCTCGATTCTTGCGCGAGGATCGTAACCCATACTTCAAAATCTTCTTCGTTATGTCTCTGCGTCCTATGCGCGCCTAGTGGAGCATTTGGTTTACGTTTGCCGGCTAGGTGTTCCTTTATACGTACACAGGGTGGTCTACCCGTTTCGCCAATGTATTCGTTCGCGCACGCTTTACAAGAGGTTAGATAAACTGTACCCGAACTCATGCAGTCACCGTCTCTGCCATTGGGGCAAATTATGCAATTTTGTGTTGCACAAAGACGGTCGTATAGGCGGTTACGAACTAGCTGGCGTCTTGGATTACTCGGTGGTATTTCAATTATCGTTTCCGAATTCTCTAGAACGGCACTTCTTAAACAGCGTTTTATAGCTGCACTTACATCATTTGAGATGAAGGGTAGGATAAACGGGACCTTTTTATCGCTAGAGTTATCGTTGGGGTGTCTGTGGTTTCCTCTACACCTATCCCGAGCTACAGTTTCGTAGCCATTAAAAATGGCTATTTGCTGCACCAAGTTCCTGGACTCCTCTCTCTGCTCTCTTCCTGTGCCCACGCTGGTAGCTGTTCGAAACAAGTTTCTCACAAGCGCCCTTTTCTTGCGAGAGGGTGAGAGGAGAGGCAATGAGCCAAGATGTTTTTACTACTTGGCTTTCGACACCATTTCGTAATGTATTTGCACGTTCAGAAATGGAAGCCAGTTCTCCTTTGGTTTTTCTCGGGTGAATTTAATATACTCTAACTGTTCTTTCAGCAACTCGAAACAGCTGTTAATTTCTTCTTCTGTTGAACAAATGACCAAGCAGTCATCTATATATCTACAGTAGGGTAACGGACCGAGGTCGATTACTGGCGCTTCCACCTTAGACATGAATGCTATGGCAAGGCTTGGTGCCAGTCGTGGTTCCATTACCAGCGCTCTCATTTGTGCGTAATTCCTCCTGGAACATCTGAACATTGAGCAGTTAAGGGACTCCTTTAAGAGTGTCATCAACTGCTAAATCGAGAAGCCGTACATGTTTATTGTACCTCCGTGTTATATAAGGAGCTCGCGGATGGCTTGCATAGCGGAGTCATTCGACACGTTTGTATAGAGGGCAGTGACGTCGAAGGACTCCACCACTTATGCGCTGTTGGGTCGCGCGTTACGTAGGCGATCCAGAAACATTTGGGTGTTAGTTAGATGAGCTGGAATGTACTTCAACAACTGAATAAGTATTAGGGTTATTAGCCACGTTATTCTATCCGTTGGCCCGTCCACACAGATAATAATAGGTCTAACCTTAAATAGGGATGGATGGGTAGACACGAGTTCAACGCTGGATACTAACTTATGGGTTTTGATAAGTGAGTACAGGACGGGACATGTTGGTAAGTCAACTTTGAGATGAGAGATTACTGATGGTTTTAACCCAGCCGCTCTTGCACTTTAACCCATTCATTGTTTAACTTTCGGTATTGACTTTTAAATTCCTTCTCAGACGACGGACGATAAAGGGAGGCATCTTCAAGGTGCTTTTCCGTTATCTCAACATCTAACTGATGGAGAATTACAACGAACTCTCCACCCTTATCACTAATCGATAGTCCTATGTTATTCGATCTTATCAGCTCTCGTGTCTCCCGCATACCACGTTTTTGTATTTCAGTGGGGTTGGAGCGGTATCTCTTAGCGCGATAGTGATTAAGGACTTTGAAATTTTCATTCGTAAACTTCCGAAATTTAATGTCAACTTCATTATTGCGCTCTTGTTGAGGTTGAGAAAATGGTGGTACTGGTGTTGCCCCTACTTTTTGTTGTTCGCTCCTATTTAGCGCTTCATCCTTAGCTTTTTTGCAGAGTCTATCTTGAAGTTCATGTAAGCTACATGCGACCCTACGGAAGGTTACCTCAGAAATGGGTTCAAATGATGAGAAACTCGGTCTCAGTTCTAATAACGAGTGCGCACCGTGAAAGACAGTCATGCCCTTAGCACGCTTACCCTTGAATTTCTTTTCACATTATTTATCCTACTGTGACTCCTTTGATTGGCGGCGTTTCTGTATGCTCTTGAAGACGTGTTATGCGATTTACTCAAAAGGTCTTCGAATTTTTGTGGTGATCCTGAGGTGATCCTCCAAATACTGAGCACTATAGTTTTCTTTCTTCTCGCACTTCCTCCGCTTAGCGAGCACCTGGCTTTGTTTGCTTCGTAGACAGGTGCGTAGTACATACAATTCGATGTCCAGTACTCGGTGGTTAGTGCTGGCTCTTCTTTGTTAATTCGTCGTGCAGCTCCTGATTGGATTATGAGTTTGAGTTTTTAGACTGTCCGTCTAGACAGATGTTCCTTGTGAGTTTAAAATTCCATGCATTATTAGTGCATTCCTAAACTATTGGAGAATTCTACCATAAGCTTGCGTCAGCTTGTGCGTAAATAAAGAAATAAAGCAACACTTTGTGGTTGCTGAATAGAAGTAGAAAAAATTATTCAATCAATGCCGAGGTTAATAGAAAGTTGGACTTGGGATTTACTTACTTACCTGGATACTTGAACACCTTCACGAGTTGTGCACACCCCAGCACATTTGCCATTCGCTGCTTTCACTGGCAATTGTCGCCCATGGTGGTGATTTTATTCGAGCATGGCGACGCTTAGGAACGTCATACCGTGTACAGCTTTGGTTACGAACCCTTCCACCCACTTTGTAGGTGCCCGTCCTAGAGCACGCCTGTATTCTCGTCTCGTCAGTTCTTGTCATTACGTGACCAGTGCATCTGTGTTCCGCTAACCATGTATATTCTCCTGGATCCAGAAGATGTGACAGAGTTCGAAGAACACAGCTTCACATTTTAGCTAGACATTGATAGTGCCGGTTGTACTTTAGAGAACATCGTTGAAAAGCTTTGTGAGTAGTGCAGAGTATTCTTGAAGTGGTTGAAGTATCAGCCCACGTTTCCGCAACATAAGAGAGCGTTGGGGGGACCGCTGAGTCAAAAAGGAGAGCAGGGATTTTCGGGTCCTTCAATTTGACGGTGGCTTCTTTGAGAGCTCAAAAGGAGGGCCCCAGCTGCTCTTCTTTCTTTGTTTAGTTCCTACTTCGTGTGATCTCCATGTTCATTGATTGGCTAAGGTATACGTACGAGGCGATCTCTGCCATCAGTGAGCCATCCAGTTTAGTTTCTTCGAGTTCTCACCGTGGGCTTTTATGAACTTGGTTTTTTTCCGATCTATACATAGCCCAATCTTTTTTCCTTCTTCATTGAGCCCATTGATCATCGCCTTTGCTTCGCTGGTGCCTCTCGGAAAAATCACGATGTCGTCGGCGAAACGAGAGTTTGATAGGAATTTTCCACCAAGACGTGGGCCTTTCCCATCCAAACGAATGACTTCATTATCCACTACAGCACGCCACTTAACAGTTTTGACGATTTAGTATCTCTCTGTCAAACTCATTTTTCTGTGGGTTTGGTAAGAGGTCGATGAAAAAGCTGCATTTTCGTTGCGCAGTTCCTATAGCAGTCTGCTAGTGTTCGTATATAGGATAGGCCCACCCCTTGGTAGACGAGTGCTGATAGAATTGCATTTGTTTCGACGATGTCAAACGCTTTTCCATATCCTATAAAAATTAGGACTAAGAAAAAGTGGTATTCCCGACAAAGTCTAACGACCCTAGACACAGATTGGATGACCAGGCTGCAAATTCCTTGCAGGAATCCTGCTTGCTCGACTCGTTGCGTCTTGTTCACTCTCCTTGTTATGCGCGAAAGGATAATCCTTGTGAACAGCATGTAGAGTACACTCAAGAAACATATCGGACAATAATTATGAGGATACCTTCAGTCACCTTTCTTGAGCAGGATGACCGTGCGCGACGTCCTCCACTGGTCTGCAATTTTTTCCTTTTGAAAGTAAGCTGGCTTGCAAGAAGTTCATGCAGATATTTCTATTTCTAAGAAAGTCGGCAATGATGTCACCGGTTCTAGAGCTCTGCCTGTTTTCAGGTCTTCTATCGGAAGTCGAACTCCCGACGGAAGAATTCCGAGTGGTTTCTCTCCAGCGGAGATTTTAGGGTTCGGGAAGGAAACCGTAGAATGGAAAAGGTTGGTGAAGAACGTTTTTGCTATTAATTCCATATCATGGCAGAAAGTTTCGACGATATCATCTTCTTTATCAGGGCTGACAGCGGAACATTATAATCACATAAATCCCGACGACATTATTTCAGACTGCTTCTTTCCTTGGCTGCTTAAAGTAATTTTTTGCTGCCTGTAGCGGTGTAGGTCTTCATGGAAAGCTTGTCTGCAACTCGCACTCCTTACTCCTTACCACTCGTGTTAAACGTGTTGCAGCAGGATTAATCTTCAGTTTCCTTCTCTGTTCGGGCAATTCCTTAGTAGTAGTGGAAATGCTATCCGGTCTTTGACTAGCAGCTCGTAATCTTCGGTTGGATATTCTTTAATCTGCCATTCATGTTTCGACACACGATAGAATTGTGTTCTCGACATATGCAGCTTGACTTTCTTCTGTAGTCATCGGAACATGAATTCATTTCCAGTCTACGGCTGAATCGAACTTTTGGTCTAAAAAGGTGGTGATCGGAACCACTACAGAGTGACGTGACCACCGATGTGCCAAGTAGGTACCATCTTCTTTTGGTCACAATGTGGTTAATTTCCGCATGATTCATGCCGTTAAGAGACTCCCGTGTCCAACGACGGCTTTCCTTCTTTTGCAAAAACGAATTTTGGCGGAAGAGATATGTTGCAGATAAGTATCCTGCGAGTATCTGCCCTATTTTGCCTTTCCTATTCTAGCTCTGTTTTGACAAATTTGTAACGCTATATCACTGCGGATAACTTCCTCTAACTGCTAGTAGAGCGCACTCAATTCGTAGTCATCAGCTACGCCCGTCAGTGAGTAACAGTTGATGATTGTGATCTTCTTATGACGCGTCAGCTCAAGATGTAGGAGGGCTATGCGAGGAGGATCTCGTATGAGTTGACGAGAAGGACAATGGTCCGGTGGACGACAAAGCGTTTGCCGCCGACATTTCGTGACTGCACCTTTTCTCCAGTGATGACAAGGACCCTTGCTGTTTAGTCGGCTTATGTCGGTCTTCTTGAATTTTGTTTCTTTCAATGCGATCACATGAAATTTAATACGATCTGCGGCTACAAAAAGGACGTGAAGATCGGCGTCTGTGGAGAGTGTTCTGGCATTATACGTGAATAGTAAGAAACAATCTCCACGGCGTGTCGTGTGTGTGTTTGTCAGATCCAGTGCTAGTGACGTCCTCGGTAAGCAGAGATTTTGTTACCTCTCATCGGTTGTCTTGTCTTCCTGTTCTGTTAGACGGGAGCACCCAGTGTGCGGGGTACTGAGGCGGTCTTATTGCTGGCTGAGCAGTTTGATCCTCTTTGGAGTCCTGATTAACCTTGCAGGGGAGTATTCAGGTCTTCACTGCGATGATGATCCGAGGGAACCTTTTGATGCTGGAATTAAACCTGGAACGCTAGCCGACTGATTAATCATATCAAAGTTGAATGAACGTCGGTTCTCAAGAGATACTGAGTATTCGAAAACAGCTTAAGTCAAAATCGAGTTTAAAAAATAAGAGAAAATTTCGGTACAGTTTGCTTTGGTAACGATGTGCATACAGCGACGATAGAATGGCATACCTTGAAACTATCGTCAACCTAAATGAAAGAGGAAGTCACCGAATCAGATCGCAGAGTAACTCGTCGCTCTAGTAGACAACAGTAAGTTGCACTAATTTAGTTAACATTTAACCTAAATAAAATGCAAAAGATGATCAATGAATCGGATGCGTGAAGTAGGGCTGTGGCGAACCAACCACTCAATTCACAGCCGCTGTTTCGATCTCAGCCCTCACTTGTTTCCCAGAGCGTTCCATTATCACCTAGTAGGTCAATATTATACCAGTGAGACCCCGGAAAAGCCCATAACGAGTTCGATCCCTATTGCGAACACCTGTGGTTCAGAGTTTTGCAATCGTCTCAGTCTTATTGTGGTTGCATTCACAAACTGATGTGTTTTGAGATATTTGCAAAACTCTGGACCGCAAGTGTCTATGGTGGGGAACAAACGCGCTATTGTCCTTTCCGGGGAGTAAAGCGTTCACCACCACACCATGCGGGTCCTTCGTTTCGCCTGTTTCCCAGCTATTTCTATTGATCTTTGTCACAGTAATCACCAGTTAGCGGAATTGATCTGGAGCGCCCAAATCGGCATAGAACCCAGTTAAGCTGCCGCTGTAGTTTAAATCACAATGTTATACCTTTTTATTTTCTGCCTATTATAATTTCGCGGCAGGGCACTAAGGGAAATACAACCACAACGTTGCTGGGATATTTGCAAAGCTCTAGACCAGAGGTGTCTATGGTGGGGAGCGAACGCGCTGTTATCCTTTCCGGGGAGTAACGCGTTCACCGCCACACTATGCGGGTCTTTCGTTTCGCCTGTCTCTCAGCTATTTCTATTGATCTTTGCCAATTCGCTTAGTACTCTGCCGCGAAATTATAATAGGCAGAAAATAAAAAGGTATAACATTGATGTGTTTTGAATAAGGACAGAAAACTCTAAATTCACCTGGATAAGATTTCATGAATTTTTCTAGATAGTCCATCATTTCTAAATGACGCTCACTGCACGCGTCGTCGAAACTTTTCTTCAAATTTAAAGATGACCTTCTACGAAGGTCGAATGACCTGTAAAACTTTTCTGAATGGCATCACATTTTTTATCAACGCTCTACGGTGATTCGTTCCTGCACCTCATGAAAAAATTTAAGCTAAGAGGTTAAAAGAAATAGCACAGCAGACCATAGTCATACTAAGATTTGAAATTGAGATTTAAAAACAAAACAAAAAGCCTTAGAAGAACAAAAGTGTGAAGGAATCTGGATTACTGAGAGAAAACGAATCCATGGGGCAGCTTCGTTAGATGACAAGGAGCGGCACGAATTGGAGACATTATTGGTACCTGCCCTATTCGCTCGATGATTAGCACGATCAAATGTGGCACGTATTTCCTATAATCGCCTACTCATACCACATTTTGCGTATAGAAGTGGTGCTTTAGCTAGGAAACTTTGACGTAGAAAGTAAAGGGTTATTGCGGTTGGAAAATAAAATACTCTGCAACGCAGAATTGTGAACGACTTCGTAGAATTTCGACTTAACAACGATTGCGATTTGGCGAACTGAGAGTACATTACCGCCAAGGTACGTAAATAAGGTTGTGAAGCTTCTCGTAAAACTTGTATATACTTTGATAATAAGGGACACTGGGCAATATGCAACAGGCGATGAAGCACTTTTCCGCATTCGTCTCTCATAGTGGCTCCCTCGAAGTCCTCGATATCAATCTGTGACGAACATGGAATACTTCCCCACTCGCTATACTTAATGCAGAAAAGTTTCTGAGATTTGAAAAACGCACAGGAGCTTTTTTGAATGCTGCAGATAAGAGAGGTAATACTTACCTCCAGACATGGTTAGCCTCGGTTTTGTTGAAGCCCATACAATTGGGGTAGTACGCGAAACCTGCACTATCATCTTGAGCGACCATTGTCTGCAATAGAAGCCCTTTTTTTTGGTGGACGACAAATGGAAAATAGCAGGAAAGCAGAAGAATATTAGAGGCCTTCTTTTTACGATTCCGTTGATTGGATTACAGTAAGGCAAAATATAGAAACAAAAGACTTCAAAATTTGTCCCTCCTAGGTTTTTAATTACGGAATCAAATGCTCTTCTCAAAAGGATACACATACAACTATGAAATAAAGAATTCCGTGTAACATGGAGACCGGTTCACTCAACATGACACGATTCCATTATGCATCAGAAAAGAAGGTGAATATTTCTTAGCGCTCACTTTGTATCCCATTTTGGCGTATTCCCATAAGTCGTATGTGTAATTGTCGATGTATTTAGAGCACACTTCCGTATTGTTTAAGTCGGGTATCAATGGAGGAAGCCCCACCACGCCTCGGCTTCCTCCTTCGATCGACTTTCCTGAATTTTTATTTTTTTGACGTTATCAAGTGACATCTTTATAATCTGTCGTAAGTTTCATTCTACATTTTTATTTATATGATCTAACAAACTGATTTTCTTAAGCTGACACGAGGTTGGTACAGATCTTCGTTGTCATTGTCGTTATTGTTGGTGTTGTTGGTCGATGGCTGACGTTTCGGCGATTTCGCCTTTCTCAGAGCTGTGATGTTGCGAGTGGGACTCCCAAGAACAAACAACAGCAACAACAACAACAACAACAACAACAACAACAACAACGACAACGACAACGACAACGAAGGCCTATACCAACCTCGCATCAGCTAAAAAAGAGCAGTTTATAAGATCATATAGACTATCTATGCCGATGTTTATAGAAAGTCGGTCTTTTGAGTTATTTTCATTCGACATTTCAGAAACATCTAACTAAAGTAGGCACTGAACGTAAATAAAACGATTTGTGCAAATAATTTTTACATTGTAAGGGTCCTCTAAGTTTGGCGGGTAGCCCAGCGGTAGCGATGCCACTTATCGCGAGCGCGGTGTTGGTTCGACGATTACAAACTCACCAGGCCTCTCATCCCTCTAGAGTCGAAAAATTGCTTCCAGACTTCTCTGGAAACAGTTCATTCTTTGCAGTACAAGTGGAGACGTTCTAACCCGACTGTCTCACAACTCCAGGGAGAATCGAGTAGACCAGCATTTAACAACATTCATAAGGAAGACAACGATTCTCAAGAAGCTCCCAACCCACACGCTAAAAGTTGGAGCACCCTCGTTGATAATGATTGTGAGGAAACGAATCGAGTTGCAAAAGCTCCTACTTTTTACACAAAAGATGTGAAGCTGGGTCGCGTAGGATGAAAATAAAAAAACTTTTCTAAACATTCAGTGTAAACCAACCGAACGCAAGAACAAATCCGTTCGGTCGACTGTTATCGCCAACTTTGTTAAGGAATTCCATTTGTACTCCACCAATGCTCTTCAGATATTTAAGCGTTTTGGGAAGCGATCTAAAGTGTTTTAAAACTGAACTAGTTCGTGGCGAATGTTGAAAACATATATTAGAATATTTACTCCACAAAAACAATAAGTAAACTGCAGTTAGACGACGGAATCGGAGCAAAATTATGGCTAGTTGGTATTGTAAACAGTACCTCTTAGCCATAAATGAAGAAGTTGAGTCGATAATGAAAATGAAGACGTCGGGCCTCGAAATATTATGAGAGTCCCTAAAAGGGAATGGCGTCGAAACCAGAACATTGACTAACATCTCTTCCATAAATTCTAATGGAAATAACCGCATTCCATATGAGAATAAATTTCCTACTCATCGATTGATTGTGGAAATGTGCTTCGTGCTCCTTTTCGTTCGTATATTTGTGTGTGAAGAAATGCTTCAATTGTCTCATTTTGGCTACAACTGGTCTCGATAATATCACATTCGAATAAATTCGACGATGGAAGGTTGATCCATGTTCCTTCGGTGTAGTTGCAATCGTTGTAGTGAAGAATGCACCTGAATATAATGATCAATGAAGACGCCAGTATGCTGATTCTTAAATTTTCTAAAGTTTTTGGTTAACGTAACACCACCGAGAGGTCATATTAGAAAATCTGAGCTACACTCGGAAGCAAAAAACCTCTTTTTCGTTGCTGCGTTGAAAGCGATTAGGCATTTGGGCACTAGATTTTCATATCTTATTGGACATCTTTTTTTCATCTTACTTTATATCTTATTTGATTCGTCTTCACGTCTGCTGTACATATCTCGGCACTTCTCACATTTGATTCTTTTCCTCGTATCTATTGTCCACGAAGGTCTTCCAACCTTACGTGTGGCTTCGGTTGCTGCTTGAGGATTTCCATTTCATCTTGAATGTTGTAGAATGCTCGCCAACCCAAGAGGGATGAGGGGCTTGGTTGATCGGAAGCGGAATCGAACTAGCACCATGTTTATGATGATGGACATCACTACCACTGTGCTATCCGCCCTCTTATTAGAGATCAGCGTTCACAATTTTTGCTTTACTGGCATCTGGCCAGATGGGTAAGCTTGCCAAGTTTCTTTTACCGTAAGGTTTAAGGTATTAGTGCTCGTCTTCGTTATCGTAATCGTTCACCAGATCTTGTAGATTAGGAGTACATTTTTTGCGATTGGTTTCTACCCTCGTAAGCTTCACTTTGTGATTCTAGTTGACTCCTAGCAAGGCATTCAAATGAAGAACGTCTGCTACATCAAGCTTCCTAACGATGAGAGAGGGAGACGTGTGACGGGTGTGTAGAACTCAAAAATCTAGAGACTTTTTATGGAAATAAGGTGTTAAGATTGACATTGCTTTTTAAAACAATCCATTTTCTGTATTTATGCTGTAGTCTGTCATTTAAAATACAAAAAAGTGATATAAACAAAAACATGTAGACAGTTCTTCGCAGAGGTTTTAATTCATTTTTGCGATTACCTCGCCTGACAGTTATAGTCCTTAGCCTTCTCCTTGACAAGAACCTGAGCATCAACCAATTCAGTGAACGGCTCGTAGATGGTACAGTTCTAAATCAACACAACGCATTTTATAACAATCGCGGAATACTACGGTGTCTCCGGTCGTCCTAATTGCCGATACCTTCAGCCTATTGGTGATGTTCACTTTTTACTGAACTCTTTTTTTTCTAACTCTTACAATGGAATACTTCTCACTTCCTTCGGATTGTATCCGGGATGATGGAATTTCAAAAGCTCTGGATCCATGTGATTGTGTAAGACAAGAGGGCACGTGTCAAACATCGAGTTGTCGTAAATCGGGAAGCTAACGAATAAAACGATGTTTCTGTACGCTGAAATGATTCAAAAATAAGGGAACCCACATTCAAAATCCACGAGGTCCTCGTTGTAAATGAAATCACAAAGAAATCACCTGTTTCTAAATCTACGATGTAATATCCAATCATGAAGAAGCAACAAGCGAAACAAGCAAATAGGAAACGACCGATGTGCATTTTCTGAAAGAAGGAGAACTAGATAAATTTGACAGTGAGGAGGCCAGAATGTTGTCGATAAAGTTAAGCATCCTTTCGTTTTAGCAAAACAAGGCCGTTTTCACTATAGCAAAATTTTAAACTTTGCAAAAGACCACCTTAAATTGAGAAAACATCAGCAATCAAAGAAGAAATTCTCGGGCGAAAAGCAAATGATTTATGAATCAATGGCTCTTTTGAAATCATCTCATTTGCTGAAAATCCTGGCAAACAACTGGTTTACAGGAAGGCCGCTATAAAGTAGTCCATCGCCAGGCCTCAATAGATCCTATAAGATAAGCACGAGAAGAATTCCGTCTCTAATCGTTCAAAACATGAAGTGTGCCGAATTCGCAGTGAATAGTAGTTTTGTGCGGATGAACAAACTTCGGATGAGATTCAAGTGGGCAAAATCCTGTATAAGCGAAGGCGCTGTGTATGCTTCGCTCAAGATAGTGAATTCATCACTATGCGCAAGAAAATAGTTATAGGTAAATGTGTGCTACGGCAGAGCATTAAGCACTACATGTCGAAGCTTGCTCTCCAAAAACACTGAAAAGTTTGTGGTACCAAAAGTTTTGTACTATTTCCTTCTCATTTGCTAAAGCACTCATCTTTCAGCTTTCAGCATCAGCTTTGGCACTTCAAATGGACTAATGAAGTTTGAGGCCGGCCATTCAAATTGCCTAATATTTAATCGAATTTTAGGTTATACAGAGTATATAGATAATACTGGTATGTTAGGATCGTCATGTATTCAAAAGCGATCTATCTTACCAATAGATCCTTTGCACGTTGAACGCCATCTGATCAGGATCGCTTGGCTATGACATGTAGTTAAAACATGTAAATAAACGAGTTTTACTTTGAGCTAGATAAAATTAACAAGCTCAATTACTGTATTCTATTACAAAACAACACCTAAGTGACTGCAAACTGCATCCGGAGTACTTCCTAGTCGCCTAAAGAAGTCAGCGTCTACTCCAAGAAAGCAAAGCAGTCCATCGGCAGAGAATTTTCTTTAAAACCAATAAAAGCAAAAGATTTCGGATATTTGGCAACCTTACAGATGAGCTTAAACCATTTGAGCGATGCTCCAATGAAGAAGATACGACTCGATAAGACGACGGAGAAATTGCATCGAGAAGCGAACGACTGTGGATCATCGAGTTGAATCGCACAGCTGAGTGGTCTGGAATGTGATTCTAGCTAAGTGGAGAGTGGCCTCGGAATCGATTCTATTAGGTCGATACACGTGAAATGTTCGATTTTGTTGCTTTAGTTTTTCGTGTAATTTGTTCAATTAAAATTTTATTCTTTATTCGTATTTTTGTTGAGCAAACGCGAGGTGTTATTATTCTTTGTTCACGATTAAGCTGACGTTTCGGCGAATTTCGCCTTCTTCAGAGCCTGGAAAGATCAAGTTGATAGCAACCCACTCGGCCAGACGCCTCCATAACCAAACAAAGAAACTCCAAACCAAGATTTCAATCACTTTGAACACAGCTTTGCACACTCACCACTTTCTATGAGGTCTCCACTAAGTATGTCACGTAGAGACCAACCGCACAGAAATCACGTGGAAGTATCACGTGCCCCTCACATCAGAAAAGCAGTTTTATATACTGCCCTATATCACGCGTGATAATGAGGCATTCTTCTCTGCGGTTCATTTTCGGATTTCTGGAATTAATCCAGAGTGCCTCGAGAGTTTTTCGCGCCTGTGTTCTTGATTCGCGTGCGGGGATCGTCACACATACTTCGAAGTCGTCCCCGTTATGTCTCTGGGTCCTATGCGTGCCTAGCGGGGTATTTGGTCTATTTTTGCCGGCTAGGTGTTCTTTCATGCGGACACAGAGGGGTCTCCCCGTCTGTGTCCGCATGAAAGAACACCTAGCCGGCAAAAA